ATACCCCTGACTAAAACTTGTATGGGGGCAGCCCTGGAGGTGCCGTGGGCACTTGTGTGGGGGGCATGGCCCAGGGGGCACAGATCGGGGGACACCATGGGTGCAGGGGGGGCACGGCCCTGGGGAGGGCACAGGTGCTCAGGGGGTGTGGACTGGGGGACGCCATGGTTGCTCAGGGGGGTTGCAACTCAGGGGGGATTGCGGCCTGGGGGGGGCACCACGGGTACTGGGGGAGCCAGGCTGGAGGGGGTGCTGCGGGTGCCCGGGGGGGGGGGGTGTGGGCGGGGGGGGGTGGGGGGGGGGGTGGGGGGGGGTGGGGCAGGTTCCCTACCCAGCTCCTGGGAAGTGGCGACCTCCAGCTCCTAGCTCCACGTGCTGCCTCTGCTCCTCCCCAAGCCCCGGTTCTGCAGCTCCCATTGTCTGGGAACCATGGCCAATGGGAGCTACAGAGGCGGTGCCTGCGGGCGGAGGCAGCAGGTGGAGCTAGAAGCTGAGGGAGGGACGTTCCTGTCACCCTTCTGGGGAGGCCCCCCCCCGGTAAGCACCACCTCGCACCCCAACCCTGAGCCCCCCCCATGCCCAAACTCCTGCGGCTGGGGGCGCCCGAGACTGCCCCAGCAGTGGCCAGTGCGACTGGCCCAGGGGCTTCCTGAGCTGCTCAGGTGGCTTCCGGGCTATTTGCACGGGCTGCTGCAGAAGTCACGGAGGTCATGGAAAGTCACAGAATCTGGGACTTTCGTGACCTCTGTGACAAACATGGAGCCTGAGTTATAAGTGGTGGGTTGTGGGTTTGGGTTTTTTTTGGGAGAGGGTTTCTTCCGCTTTTTGTTTTTCATTCTCACTCAGTCTCTGCTGTGCGTACGGTGACCAGATGTCCCGATTTTATAGGGACAGTCCCAATTTTTGGGTCTTTTTCTTATATAGGCTTCTATTACTCCCCACCCCCGTCCCGATTTTTCACACTTGCTGTCTGGTCACCCTAGCTGTGCGCATGCAAACAGTTCTAGGGGGAACTGAAAAAAGCCTTTAAAAAAAACTTCCTTTGGTCCCTGAGCTGTCAGAATTGTGTTTATAAACAGGGATTAATGGGTGATTACAATAAGAAAGGGCTGTTTGGATGTTTCCTAAAGTTAAATGATTTGTTCCAAGCTTGTGAACTGCAAAAAGTGAGTAGCATAAATGGTAGAAAGTAATTGAAGATTTTTCTACAATTGTTTCAATTGTTGGATTCAAGAGGTGGTAACAAAGTTACTAATGTCTTTGAGAAGGTAACTGATTTTTTAGACAAAGGAAATGCAGGAGGTCTAATATCTTACTGTCAATAAGGCATTTGATACAGTTCCACATGAGAAATTATTAGTTAAATTGGAGAAGATGGGGATTAATGTGAGAACTGAACGGTGGATAAAGAACTGGTTAAAGGGGAGACTACAAAGGCTCATACTGAAAGGTGAACTGTCAGGCAAGAAGGAGCCGGTTACTACTAGTGGAGTTCCTCAGGGTCAGTCTTGGGACCAATCTTATAAAACATTTTTATTACTGAGCTTGGCACAAAAAGTGGGAGTGTGCTAATAAAATTTGCAGATGACACAAAATTAAGAGGTAGTGCCAATATGGAGGACCAGAATATCATACAAGATCTGGATGGCCTTGTAAACTGGAGTAATAGAAATGGGATGATATTTAATAGTGCAAAGTCCTGTATTTAGGGACTAACCAGAAGAATGTTTGCTATAAGCTGGGAACTTATCAGTTGGAAGTGACAGAGAGGAGGAGAAAGACCTGGGTGTATTTGTTGATCACAGGAGGATGACTATGAGCTGTCAATGTGATGTGGCCATGAAAAAGGCTAACACGCTCCTGGGGTGCAGCATCATGTGAGGTATTTCCAGTAGAGACAGGGAAGTGTTAGTAAAAACAACGAGGAGTCCTTGTGACACCTTAGAGACGAACAAATTTACTTGGGCATAAGCTTTTGTGGGCTAAAATAAAATACATGCCCAAATAAATTTGTTCGTCTCTAAGGTGCTACAAGGACTCCTAGTTGTTTTTGCTGATACAGACTAACGCGGCTACCCCCAGGGCCGTCCTTACTGATACGCAAAGTATGCAGCTGCGTGCTGCTCCAGCCCCTGCTCTGCCTCTTCCGCATGGCCCTGCCCCTGCTCCACACCAGTCCCGCCTCTTCCTGCCCCTGCTCCACCCCAGCCCTGCCCCCACTCCACCCCTTCCCCAAAGCCCCTGCCTCTGATCCCGCCCAGCCCCACCCCGCCCCCACTCCACCCCTTCCCCTGAGGACAGGATCAGGGGTTGGGCCTGCCCTGCACTCACCGGGTGGCAGGAAGTGGAGCGGCCCGACCCCAGCCTGCTCTGCGCCGCCGGCTCCCACCCGCTCTGCCAGTGAGTGCTGGGGGGTGGTTCGCCCTTGCCCCCCAAGTCCCAAGGTTGGGAGCCAGAGGAGCAGAGCGGAGCGGCTGGGGCCAGGTCGCTCCACTTCCCACCTCCCAGTGAGTGTGGGGTCGGGCCTGCCCTGCACTCACCCGGCAGCAGGAAGTGGAGCGACCCGGCCCCAACCCACTCCGCTCTGCCGGCTTGTGCTGGGGGGTGGTTTCCCCCCTGCCCTCGAAGCCTGCTCCTGCCACCCCTCGCGAAGGCCTGGGGCCACCCCCCCCGGCAGGGGGGGCTGCGTAGGGCACCAAAATGGCTAGGGATGGCCCTGGCTACCCCTCTGGAAGTGTTCGTGCCATTAAACGAGGCACTGGTGAGACCTCCTCTGGAATACTGTGTGCAGTTCTGGTCTCCCGTGCATAGGCGCCGACTCCATGCGTGGGTGCTCTGCCGCTCAAGCACCCACGGGGAAAAAAAGTAGTGGGTGCACAACACCCAGGAGCCAGAGCTTGAGTGTGGACTGTGAGGAGTTCTCTGCTGCTAAGAACTTCTGCCCTTGGGGCAGGGAGTTTGTTTATAAACAGAGGCAGGGTGATTAAGATAACAAAGGGCTTGTCATTACAGTAAATTAAGGATCATTAGATGATCCTGAAAACATTGCCAGGCACTCCAATTAAAAGATAGGAAACAAAGGGTAGAAATAAATGGTCCATTTTCAGCATGGAGAGAAGTAAATAGTGGTGTCCCCTGAAGGGCTTGTACTGGTCTGGGACCAGGGCTGTTCAACATATTCATAAAAGAGCTGCAAAAAGGGGGAAACAGTGAGGTGGCAAAGTTTGCAGGTGATACAAAATTACTCAGGAGAGTTCAGTCCAAAACAGACTGCGAAGAGTTAGGTGACTGGGCAACAAAATGGCAGATGAAATTCAATGTCAAATGCAAAGTAATGCACATGGCAAAATATAATCCCAACTATCCATACAAAATGATGGTGCCTAAATTAGCTGTTACCCATCAAGAAAGAGATCTTGGAGTCACTTACAGGACTCTGCAAATTCATAAGAGTACTTCTCACTATGCCTGTATCATCCTGAACACATTCTCCAGCTCCAGAAGATTTAAAAACCATTCCAGTCACCAATCGAACAGACTCAACTCAATAATGTAACTGTCCTTAGTGCATCAAAACAATCCCAGGGAACTAGATGTAAAGCAGATTGCTGACAGTTTCATCCAGAAGGGACAGTGAGATAGAATGCCTTTAAACTGGGACGTTAGTGAAGGCAGCTTGTGATTTCAATGGTTTGAATATACTGTAATTCAGGATAATGTCATTATGTCGTTCATAACAATTGAATCATTATTAACATAGACACATTCAATAACTAGGATTTGAAAGGCGTGTATAAATATGCTGAAAATAGCCTCCGCCCAAAACTGGCAGAGTGCCCCCCCACACACCCCTCTTCAAAAGCACCCACCGGCCAAACGAAACCCAGCGCCTTTGTGTTCTGACTTTAGTAAGTGTATCTGAGCGAGCTAAGGGCTTGTTCCAGTGCAGCACCCGGCAACTGAGGCAAGTCAGGCCAATCTTCTGTGTCCTGTTGTTTCCCTTCTATGAAATGTGAGCCCAGCCTTGCAGACCACACAGCTCGCAACGGGCATGACTGGGGGGGGTGGCCCGTGGGGACCTCGATAACTGGGGGAAGGAAGCAGCAGCTGACAGATCCCCCGACCCCCGGGTCCCCTGGGGAGCGCGGTTCGAGTCCAGGCTCACCCTAGAGCCCGTCGGGGCTGCGGGCCGGCCCAGGGAGGCGAGTGGGTCAGCGACCGGGGGCGGCCCTGCCCCGTAGAGCGCCCGGCGCCGCGATCCCCCCGCCGGCAGGGGCCGCTGCCGCCCCGCTCCTCCCCGCCGCTCCCGGGCCCCGGCAGCCAGGCCGCGGCTCCCTCCC